TATATATATATATATATATATATATATATATATATATATATATATATATATGTATATATATATATATATAAGTTGCTGCATTAAACCATAAACCCTAAACCCTAAACCCTCAAAAAAGGGTTTAGGGTTTAGGGTTTAGTAAGGGCTCCTAACTCGCGATAAGTCTAAGGGGGAGACAGGGGCCCCCCGACTGCTATCAGAAGGAGTATCACTCGGTGCCCTTCTAGGGGCCCCCCTAGGGGCCCCCCCTTCAGGGGGCCCCCCTGTCGCTTGTGTATGAGTGGTGGGGGCCCCCGGGGGGCCCCCCCCCTTATCTGAATTCCCGCTATCTCCGCTGCGGTGAGACCCCTGGGGGCCCCCCCCCTCCACTGCCCCCAGGAACGCAGACGAGGCCTGGCGTGAAGACTGCAGCAGGGGGGGGTGGGGGCCCCCCGGGCCTGAGCCGGAACCAGGGGGGCCCCCAGGGGGGCCCCCCTGGGGGCCCCCAGGGGGGCCCCCTCCTCGCTGTGAGACTGCTGGGGATACCAGCTGGGGAGACGGGATCGTCCTCGACCCCAGCCGCTGAATTCTGCTGAGGAGCTGCTCAGCGGGGCCCCCCCCTGTGTCGGTGGGGGCCCCCCTGGGGGCCCCCCTGGGGGGCCCCCCTGTGTCTGTGGTGCGGGGGGGGCCCCCCACTTTGCTTATATCGCTGGTGCGGCGGTACCCTAAACCTGAATCTCTGCTGCCTGCTGATGAGGCCCCCTCACCCTGCTGCCAACTGCGCGGAGAATGAAGGAGGGGGGGCGGGCCCCCCTTCAGGGTAGGGGGGCCCCCCAAGGCTGGGGGGGCCCCCCGGGGTGAGGGGGCCCCTCCCTGTACACCCGAGAGGAGGAGGGGCCCCTCATCGCTGCGGGAATGACGAACTCGGGGGGCCCCCGGGGGGCCCCCCTCCCCCCTAAACTTTAAACTCTCCTGAGACCAACTGGGTACTAAAGGGGGGGCCCCCCAACGCCTGTGGGGGCCCTCATCTCTAGGGGGCCCCCCTGTACCCCTTCTAGCCTCAGGGGGGCCCCCCTCACGCATACCCAAAGGAATCAACGAATGATGCCTTGGGGGGCCCCCCCTTGGTTGGTATTTGTCTCTGTATATATCTGCTTCTCTATCTATATATTTGTCTCTGTCTCTATCTATATATCTATCTCTATCTATATATCTGTCTCTGTCTCTATCTATATATTTGTCTCTGTCTCTATCTATATATCTATCTCTGTCTCTGTCTCTGTCTCTGTCTCTATCTATATATCTATCTCTATCTACATATCTATCTATATATTTGTCTCTGTCTCTATCTATATATTTGTCTCTGTCTCTATCTACATATCTGTCTCTGTCTCTATCTCTATCATCATATATATATCTTTCTCTATCTATATATCTATCTCTGTCTCTATCTATATATCTATCTCTATCTAAATATATATCTTTATCTCTATCTCTGTCTCTATCTCTCTCTGCTGCTGAGCTTCTCCTTCTCTCTTCTTTTCTCTCTTTAAGGGGGCCCCCCTCCCCTTCACACCAATACACTGTATCCTTAGGGGCCCCCTTGGGGGGCCCCCCTGCCTTGGGGGCCCCCCTGGGGGCCCCCTTGGGGGCCCCCTGGGGGGCCCCCTTCGGGGCCTCCTTAGACCCTGTAAGCCACCCTGAGAGTATGCGGGTCCAGACGGGGGCCCCCCCCTCTTCTTCTGCTGCTTCTGCTGCTGCTGGGGGGCCCCCGGGGGCCCCCTCTTTATCTGTTTTTGTTTGGGGTTTGGGTACTGATTGGGATCGAAGGGGTTTAGATATTACTCGGCTGCTGATGGCTCTTGAGCTGCATATACACCCCAAATAAATATAAAATAAATAAATAAATAAAGAATATGTTTATCTGCTTTCGTCTCTCACACATATACACACATATAGATGTTTATATATATAAATATAAATATATACATATAAATAATATACATGTA